CTTTTTAATTTTGATAAATGGAGACAAAAGCCGAACATCTTCTTGTATCGCCCCCTTTTTTAAATAATGATTCAAATTATTTAGTTACCCACACCCAGACACGTAATATAGGGAGGAGAGCCCCCTCACCCACATTTTACTCCAGAACATAGACTTTTACTGTTGAAAAATGCTCATTGAAAAGACGTTTACCTTCCTTTTTTAGTTGCAGCATAGTCAAGTCATGCTACCATCAACACTGCTAAAAATATAACAAAATATAAAGATAAATACATTTCAAGACCAAGAAATCTGTTTTACAAAACATATATTCATTACATCATGATTTGATGATTTTTGACGGAATTATGGCCATTTAAAATTTTAATTAGGAACCAGGTTTCCCTGTTGATTGAACGTCAGTCAGCATTTGACTCAATGATAAATTGTATTTGCTGGCAAGGTCATTGTATCGACCATAGAACTTACGAAATGATGACTTTAAACGAGAGTTCTGATATTCTTGTTTCATTAACTTGTTTGTCAATAATTTACATCGTTTTAGAAATAGTTCATACGTAGAGCATGGTCTTGCGTATCGAATCAACTGAGATATATATAAACTCCCTATGCAGGTGATGAAGGTATATTGCTGCATATATGTAAGTAAGGAAAGTTGACGATAGAAAAGTTAAATACATCACCTTTATCACAGAGCTTGGTTGTTAGACTACCATTAACGTCTTTTTCAAGCAAAATATCCAAGTATGAAACAGATGTGTCAGACTCTGTGGTATCTTTTTTCTCAAGCTCACCAGAATAATTATACCGTATCGACATAAGAATGGAAATTACCATTGTTAATTGACAATACGTCTATATCTCTAAATGTTTGAATAGAAGGCCACAGAAAGTGTTTTGTTCTTTTCACGCATACGATTTTGCACAAATCCTGCTAATAATGGAACGCAATTGGTACCCATGGGAATTCCAATAGATTGTTTGAAGACCTGGTCTCTAAAAACCACACATGTTGTCAATCACAAACTCAAGCATCTTTATTATGTCAACTTCAGAGTACTTGTGCGTGAAATCAGACTGTGTTTTAACAAAATAATTTTGCAAATGATCAATGACCAGGTAAGTAAATTTACGAGTTCCATTTTTATTGAAAAAGCAGTTGTCAAAAATATAAAAAAGCTGGACTTAAATTTACCGTGGAGAATGGTTGTGTATATAGTTGAAAAGTCGTAAGTTTTTAAGCTGTTGATTTTTGTAAAATCTTGTGATTTCAAACCGTCCAAAAGTTCTTTGGAATTTTTGAGTATCCACATCTGATTCACGCCACTTCCTAAATATATTGTTGCAAAGTGCTCTTTAAGTTTTATCCTTTTTAATTTTAAAGGGAACCAGGTTACATTTGCTCTTTGTAGTTCTGCTTAAGCAATACTCTGGAATTCTTGTATAAATAGGATTGTAACTTTCTCGATGTAGACTTTGAACAATTATAATCATAAGTTTTTATAGCAACACATTGTTAAATTCGCATATAATATTTTTATAATAGAATAAAGAATGCTGTTTAGCTGGAATAACGTCTGACATGTATTTTATTATGTGATCTAAATATAAAATTATCCACATTTTTAATGCATTTCTGCTCCTTATGGAACACACGATTGTGATTTATATTCCTACATTACAAAGTAAATAATAAACCTCCTAAACTTTTAGATGAAAAATGATATTTTTTTCTTATATAACATAACTGTTCTTTTATAACTAACATATTGCAGGACTTCCTTGAAAAATTAGGTGAGACAATAATCTAAGAATTAATTGGTAAGTGAATAAGGTTGGCTGTCCCTGATTTATTCCTTACTATAGGTAGAGACTTGATCATTCGACTCGGGGACTCGCAAAGCTGAGAGAATTTCGCCCAATTTTGTTATGGCGCTGTAAGAGACAGTCTAGACTGTCATTTAGAATCAGAAAAAAGATTTGTTTCTTTTTAAAGATTTTATTTGTCTTTTTGAAGACAAATATAGTGTGTCGTGTGTACATTGTACTTTAAGTGTGAGAGAGATATATTTAATTTTTTTTTTCCAAGAAATATTCTTTCTCGTACATGTACATGTAGCACAGTGCTCTCTTGCAAAGAGCTCTCGGGGTTGAATTAAGAGGAGATCCGGCTAATGATCAGACAAATTAGTTCTTACCAAATTGTAGGGATTAATTCACTTCTTGACAGATTTATCCAAAGTTGTATAGAGTTTGGTCTCAGACCATGTGGACCTGACACAAACTCAAAATGACGGTAACTTACGAATCATTAAATTGGATCTGAAGACTCCCTGGAACCAATAAACACCGCTTAATTAAGTTATCGCAGTAATTAAAGGCCTAATCTAACAAATGCTGAAAACATTACAACCTGGAGTGATGCGAACAATGCTGACAGGTTCTTTCTGGGATCCTTGGGCATCGGTCTAAGCGTTGCAATGCCTGACACGATTTCGTACGGTGCGTGAAATAGAAATGGAAACGGGGCATTATGAGAACCGTGAACACGAAGACCAGGTCGAACTCTATGCAAAATCATGGGTGACCACATGCCAGGTGGATGTTCATTATTTACCACTTTTCTCCAACTTGTGGCAGCTTAATAATGTACAAAATATATAAAACATGTTCTTCGTCCTATGGGCTTCTTTATACATGTATGTTGCTAGTTCTTCGATGTATCGGTTCTTGTTCTATTATATTAAAAAAGTAGTAATATGAGTTGGCCAGTAATGTAATCTTTACTTTTTTTTAATATTGTGTGTCCAAAATAAAATGGTTTTGTAACCGTTCTGGTCCAAATTGCGAATTTATCCGATGTGACTTATTATAAGTATTGTAATACGTTTAATGCGGAAATTTGCATATCCTCGTCATACTTATCCGCTATCTACCGTAAAATACTACTTGAAGATGCTACGGAAAACAGCTTTTGAAAACTTGTATAAAAAATGTCGGCTCGCGAGCGTTATCGCTACTGTACAGACTTCGATTCAAGTGCTTCTTCGCATTTTTGCAAGCGGTTTTGACATGACATTTTCATTACAATTGTCAATAAAGATATGATAATTGTGATCTTTTACTTGTTCAACACGACGGCATCAAAGCGTAAACTGAAATTGATAATTAGACAAGAGTGATTTTCAGGCCTCTTTACTTGTAAACGTAATACAGTAAAAATAGAAAATTTGATCATAATACCAGAAATAAATTCTTACGTAAGTCGCGCTTGTAATGCAAAACAAGAAGCTGTGGGGGTCACGTGCTACTTATTTATCACCGAAATGACAGCTCATTTGCATAATTTAAAATTTAATGCAGTTTAAGATGTGACCCACTGTCCTTCATAAGATTGAGCAATAAGAAGTTTGATACCTATTTATCTTTAAAAAAGCACTTTTTCGAGCTAAACAAATAAGTTGGTCCAATGTAGAGAGTTGATGATTATTCATAATTAATTGTTTTAATAAATTTTGTCTCATTAAGTTGATATATAGGTCTTCTTGACAGCCGAGTCGAAACGAACCAAGTTAACGACTGTCAGAAGGCGCCGATCAAATTTAACTCCATGAATAATTATAATTAATACAAAATCCATTAAGATATTACGAAATGTTCTGGTTGCATCACCGGTTTCATAAAACGAACACATTAACCGTGAAAAATAAGGAAGGTAATGCACTGAAGACGGGCAATATATTTAATTTCGCCTCTTGGCATATATACCAAAAAAACTTCACACAGGGCAGAAATGAATACAAGAAATCAAAACAAAACTCAAATCACATTTCAATATCATATACAGTTTTAGTGGAAAGTTTACACGAACATGCACAACATGCGATAAATTAGGTTTGAAAGATCGACACGCCTTGGGATCTGCAAACTTTTTTACTTTTTGTTAAATAAATACGACGGACCAAGAATTACGACAGCTAACAAGCGACAATGCATGGAGTTGTGCATCAAGAAAGGGTAGAGTCTGAATTCTGTTTGATATCTGATGGCACTAACATGCTTTTTAGTCACGCAGAATTCTCGCCACAGGAGAATGTGACGTCATGGAATGTGATTCTTCGACTTCCATGAGCAGATGGAAAACTTTTGACATTTTTTACTTAGCATGAGAAAATGAATGAAAGTGATGGATGGAGAATAAATCATAGATTTTTGTTACAACCTTTCTTGAAAATGAAGTGCAAAACTCTTCGCGTCGCGGTTTATAAAGCGTAAACTGCCCCAAGTTATGTTATATCGTATAACAAAAGTTGAAATAAGATTCATTCCTTAAATATATTGCATTTACATTTTGTACCATATCAATATTATATACATGTAGATCAAGATTTTTCATTGTTTACTAGTAATTAAACGTATACATGTCATTAAAAATGTTATTTGGACTTGATGTCGGTTCGTGGATAAGCACATCAGAAGCTGGCGATTCCAGGCAAAAACTGGTACCGTTATCACTTGTTTGTTTATTGCATGTGACTGACAAAACCACAGGCTGATTTTCAGCAAAAAAAAAAAAAAAAAAATGGCGCATTACTGCGACGTAGACCCTGATTTTAACGAGATTAATTTGAATAGTTGCATACTAAAAAGATGTTAAAATCACTAATTATCCGTTGCGGTTAGTGTATTGATTTAAAAGTTACTGGGTTGACAGATACACATTTTCGGAACTGGTCGTTAAATCGTCACTTCCAGTGAATTCTTTGATCGAATTTTAAGATTTTCTTGCTGAAAAGGGAATTTTCTTTACACAGATGCCCCCCCCCCCTAAAAAAGTTAAAAGTTTCCCCATATTTTTTTATTACTTTATGTAAAGGGTGGTTTTGACAAAGTTAATTTTGTTCTATTCCTTTTAATCTCTACACTCTACCCTCATTATCAACATACTAGTATTTTATCTATCTTCTTTAAATTCTATTTACTTACTAAAACATTTAAGAGTCATTCTCTATAAGCACCAAAATTTGATGGTAAACCATAGTCACCGATTTTAATAAAACTTTGGTAAATTAATACATACTACTAGTCGAGTATAATGGTATATGCAAAATGACGGGATACTGCTGTTTCCATGGAAACCAGCAAGTCATACTTTTGTCACATTTGCTATTATTTCCTTTATAATGTATGTGGTTGATACTCATAAACGCAGCAAAACAATTCAACAGAACTAATCCTGTAAAAAGATTAGAGATATATAAGTTTTTCTTCAAAAAATTGGAGGTGTGTTATTTTTAATAAAGAAAAAAAAGCCTTGTCAAATTTCTGTTTTCCAAGGGGAAAGTATTAAATTTTTACAAGAGTTATTTCCCCTTGTGTAACTCTTTTGTGCTTCCTGTGAAAAATTGGAGTAAGCAGAAGTCAACAGAAAATGAGAAATGGTTTGCCGCTTTATATTTCATGCTGATTCGAATTGTTCAGATGACTTAATCAATATAAATTCTGCTGACATCAACAACAGGGACATTATACTTACAGAATGTGGTCTTCTACCTAAAAAATTTGATAATTTGGATATTTGTTCCTCTCATTTTAATTTAATATTGAAACGCAACACAGATTTGAGAAGAAGAAAAACTTGTCAAGTGCCTTTTACTATTAATTCACATGAATTATCAACACGTCATAAAAAGCAGAAGTCTAGTAGATCATTGTCCATCAACAGCATTCTGAAAATTCACAGAAGATTTGGACTTGTTCTTCCTGTTGGCACCCGTGAGTACTGTACAGTGTGAATGTATTATGCAGGTCCAGCACAATACCATGATAAAGGTATATAGGTTGATAAAACTTTATCAAAATATTAGAAATGCCTTGATCAGGGTATTTACTGAAAGTCGAGTTCTGATGGAGTTGTTGTCAAAATTTTTTTGAATTTTCATTACATAAAATACTTTATCAAGCTATTCACATACTTTATCAGGTTATTGTGCTAGACCTGTTATGTAGGCCTATATATAGTCTATAATGTCAACAAATATATTAAGGACAGATGATAAAAACAAAATTTTAAATTGTCTGAAAAAAACAACAAAACAATAATAATAATAATTTGACTCATGTTTTAATGAGTACAATGATTACTCTTCACCACTTTTTTTTTAATTTTCTTAACATCGATCTTCACATAATTGGGATTTGAAGTGAATAATATTTGTGTTTATTAAGAATGATGGTTTCAGACATACTATACAGGCAAAATTTTGAACACCTAAGGCTTTACAATCTCGTTATATTTTAGAAATTTGTTATTTGTATCATTTTCAATGAAATTTTAGGATTTAAAATTTATAATTATCAAATGATGTATTTTAACCAGGCATTCATTTTCTTTTTGTATAATCTGTTCCTAAAATTATTTTAAAGTATGCATATATGTCTTTGATGAAATGCTTTAAGAATTATTAGTGCTAATTAAACCAACATAAATGAATTTTAATTGAGAATTTTTAAAAACATAATTTAATATTAGGCCATGGAGATATTATATCTTTAACAAGCATTATGCATGTCCAGCGCATAGTCATCTCATCTGGTTTGCTGGAACCCTGTGATTTAATGTAGATGCATAATTAAGATATCTTTTAAAAATTAACCTGCTTAAATACGCTTAATTCAAATTTAACTTTTAGCTATATGCACCAGCTGTCTGTTGAAGATAAATGCTCAAATAACCGAAGACGAAGAAACTGTGACAAACAAATACAATGACCAGGTTTGTAACTTATAATTCATTCTGACTTTCAGGCACATAGCAACAGGGGGAGGGGGGGGGGGGCAGTGCCCCCTTACTTCCCAACATTACTTATTTAAGAAATAAGGTATCATTTTTGAGTTTTATTGAGATGTAAAACGGGCTGGTCATGTGATCAAATCCAAGATTTGATCATGTGCCAACCCATTTTACATCTCAATAAAACTAAAAAAATGATGCCTTATTACTTATATTTACCTTTGTGACTTATTCATACTTTAAATTTGCCTGATTGTCACTTTTAACGTGCAAAATAAGTTATTTTTCAAACCCAACAGCATGTATGTAATCCAATAAATTGACCCTTTATGACATATCACAAAGAGATTACCTCGAACATTTATCCAAACCGTGAAACGCACATCTATGACCTCTTGAACCCCATACCTTACAAAAGCGTTTGCTTTCAGTAGTGTTATATGAAGGAAAACATTTGCAAATGTAAATACACTGTATACTATTGTGAATGTTCATTAAAAGGCTGGTTTCCCCCCCCCCCCCCCAATTTTTTGTGATGTAAGGAAAATGTAAGTAATGGCATTGAAAAAAGTTGGCCTCAAACCCCAATTAGCAATAATGAACAGTGTTTTTGTCATTTTTTCTTTAAATTTATAGGAAATTAACAGGAATACAGTGTTTTTTGTCATTTGGGCATTTTGATTGGGGTATCTTATTGTACTTATTCTTTTTTAGACTCAGTCACACTTGGATGAGCATGAACAGCCACTTCACGTGCAAATCCCAGGGGCTTCAAATGCTGTGGAGAAGGACCCTATAACTATAACAGACGAGAAATTATTTGAGGAGGTGAATAAAGTAGGGATTTTAATAAAATCCACTTATTAAATGTAGCAAAAACTCTTGTTTAGAAATTTTATTTTCATTTTTGAAAAATTCAGTGTTTCTCTTTTCTTTTTCACAATGTTCTAGAATGTAAATAAAACATATCTTTTCTTTAAATTAATAGAAAATTATATAACAGGAACAGTGTTTTTTGTCATTTTGGCATTTTGACAGGGTATCTTATTGTACTTATTTTTTTTTAGGCTCAGTCACACTTGGATGAGCATGAACAGCCACTTCACGTGCAAATCCCAGGGGCTTCAAGTGCTGTGGAGATGGACCCTATCACAGAGGAGATATTATTTGATGAGGTGAAGAGTGTTTAGATATTTTATTTTCATTATTGAAAAATTCAGTGTTTTTCTTTTCTTTTTCACAATGTTCTAGAATGTAAATAAAACATATCTTTTCTTCAAATTAATAGAAAATTATATAACAGGAACAGTGTTTTTAGCTCACCTGAGCCGAAGGCTCAAGTGAGCTTTTCTGATCAAAATTTGTCCGTCGTCTGTCGTCGTTGTTGTTGTCGTCGTTGTAAACTTTTCACATTTTTATCTTCTTCTCAAGAAACACTGGGCCAATTTCAACCAAACTTGGCATAGAGTATCCTTGGGTGAATGGGATTCAAGTTTGTTCAATGAAGGACCGCACCGTTTTCCAAGGGGAGATAATCATGAATTTGTTAAAAATTAATGGCATTTTTAAAAAATCTTCTTCTCCAGAACCGCTGAGCCAGGAAAGATGAAACTCATGTGGAAGCATCCTCAGGTAGTGTAGATTTAAGTTTGTTCAAATCATGACCCCCGGGGCAAGGGTGGGGCCAAAATGACCGACCCAGGTTTTACATAGGAATATAATAGGAAAAATCTTTACAAATCTTCTTCTCGAGAACCACTGGGCCAGGAAAGATGAAACTCATGTGGAATCATCCTCAGGCAGTGTAGATTCAAGTTTGTTCAAATCATGACCCCTGGGGCAAGGGTGGGGCCAAAATAGCCAACCCAAGTTTTACATAGGGATATATAGGGAAACTTTTTAAAATCATCTCTTCAAGTACTTCAAAGCTATGATTTGTGATATTTATATGGAATCATCCTCAGTTAGTGTAGATTCTAATTTGTTCAAATGATGAACGCCTGGAGGGGGGGGGATAAATTCAAGCCTGATGTGCTCAGGTGAGCACTGTGGCCCCTGGGCCTCTTGTTTGTCATTTGGATATTTTGACAGGGTATCTTATTGTACTTATTTTTTTAGGCTCAGTCACACTTGGATGAGCATGAACAGCCACTTCACGTGCAAATCCCAGGGGCTTCAAATGCTGTGGAAATGGAATCTATCACAGAAGAGAAATTAATTGAGGAGGTGAATAGGGTTGGGATTTAAATAAAATCAATATATTAAATGTAGAAAAAAACTCTTGTTTAGAAATTTTATTTTCATAATTGAAAAATTCAGTGTTTCTTTTTCTCAATGTTCTAGAATGTAAATAAAACATATCTTTTCTTAAATTAATAGAAAATTATATAACAGGAACAGTGTTTTTTGTCATTTTGGCATTTTGACAGGGTATCTTATTGTACTTATTTTTTTTAGGCTCAGTCACACTTGGATGAGCATGAACAGCCACTTCACGTGCAAATCCCAGGGGCTTCAAGTGCTGTGGAGATGGACCCTATCACAGAGGAGATATTAATTGAGGAGGTGAATAGAGTTGGGTTTTTAACAAAATCAATGTAAATCCTGCAAGAACTCTTTTTCTGAAATCTTATTTCTAATGAATTATTAAGAGCAACTCTTTTCTATATAAAAGAAAGAGAAGAGCAAAAATAAATGTTGATATAAAATATAGTGTACCATGTTGAAAAGCAGAAATACTGCATATTTTAACTGATAATTGTAAAAGAGAGAGAGAGTCGTACTGAAATGGATATATGTATAGGAAGGAAAAAAAATGAATGTAAGGAAAAGAAATTAGAAATCTTTATTGCACAGGGCTTTTTTTTCTTCCAGATAGATCAGAATTCGTCTATTAAAACTGATGATGAAAGTCAAAGTGAATTTTTCCCATCTCAAGTAAGTGGTAGATATATTGTACATTTTTTCACATTAAATGCTTATACTCTCATTTGTATACACAAGAAAATCCAAAAGTTCTAGTCATTGGGTTGTCTGGTTACTTTGCATGTTTAATTATCAGAAAGTTGAATTAGTGTGACAGTGTACCTGATCCAAAAGCTAAGTTGTTAAGATTCTGTGATTGATGAGTTTCAAGTGTTTATCTGACTACCTGCTAGTATAGTTGTTGTATATAGTCTGTAAATGTTTTCACATTTTTAATTCTTTGGAAACAATAGACCATGACATTTCAACTAAACCTACAGCATTCCTGGTTGTAGGGTATTTGAGTTTATTTAAATGAAAGACCAATCCCTCTTTTAAGGGAAGATGGAAAAAAATGACATTTTTGTGCTTGTATGGGAAATGGAAATAATGACTTTTTGTGCTTGTATGGAGGAGTATTAGAATATACTACTTAACAAAAATATTGCTTGTGACCTAAGGGTGTGTCATGACCTCGACAGTCGACCCGAAGCCATTTGTGTGAGTTCAAGGTCACTATAAAGTAAAATATTTGTGTCTGGACAATATACATGTATTTCGTATAGATAAACTTCCTATTTCATTCAAAGAGTGCTTATGACCTGAGGGTGTGACATGTGACCCAGGACATTTGGTTATGTTCAAGGTCACTGGAAGAAAAAAGTCATTTTTTCGTGTTTTATTCAAGCATTTGTATTGATGTTTGTTTATATTAGATTTATGCCTTAGTTTCTTGTACTAAAATGTATAATGAGCAATTTTACACTCTAAATGTTTAAACACCTATACCAGTATTAGTGAGGGTATTTGTCCCTTTTGGACAGTTCTAGTTAATATTAAAATTAGCAAGTGCCTTCTGTTCATAAAATATTGACCTGTGACTTTAGAATTAAAGATTCATGTTGTAATAATGTTTATCTTTGATATTTTTCAGTCATCATGGAGGAGTTATGAAAATGACAGCAGCCTGAATGCACTGAATGGATTCCTAAACGCAGTCAATTTACAAACTTTTTCTATCAATGAAAGGAGGAATTGGGTGACATATTCGAAAAGAACTCAAATTAATTATTTAAGAAGAATCAATGATATAATGATGTGCATCAAAGGCATACTGTTTCCCGAAAATCAGGTGTTAGAAGAACTGAATGCAGATCTTCAGAAGACCAGTGCTTCAAATAGATGCTCATCAACTGACTTTGACTACACAGATCTTGTGGACTCTTACAAAAGAGCAGAAACATGGCAGCAGAGAAGACAGGTTTTGTCCATCATTGCGTCAAAAGTGTCATTCAAAGATGTTCTTGCAATGATTCCCGAAATTACACCTCACAGATATTATGCTGCCCTTAATCATTCCAAGCAAATTGGTGCTGCACTTCCCATTCCAGACAAGAAAATTAACAGACAAAGAATGGATCCAGATAAGCTTGATGCATTCCTTGATTTCATTACCTCCAGTCATATTGTTCGTGACCTCCCGTATGGTGAAAAGAAAATGAAATTTTCAGATGGATCAGTGCAAAGTATGCCAAATGTTGTGAGGTGCATGGGTTCTGCCGATATAATTCAGCAGTACAAAGCTTATTGTCAAGAAAACAACATTATGCAATTAGGTATGTAATTTCACCTGAAAATATTTTATTTAATCTAAATGTTACATGATTGAAGGTCTAAATGCAAATGTGTTGTTTTTCTTCTCAGTTTAATTAATGTGCTACATATTGTACCAATTTTATAGAGTTATTTTCAAGATTTTACGAAAAAAGTTATTTTTAAATCAAAAATATAGAAACAAATCCTAATATAAATGAAACAAAAATATCTTACACAGCGTACTGTGGTTTCATCAATATTCATCCAGCACCAATTTTTGAGGATTTCGTTGTTGAGTAGATCCACGAAATTCAATGTTCATTGAATTAAGTTATATATATTTTTTCATTTTATACAGGCGATCCTTTTGTCCACAAAATAGTATAATCATCGAAAATGTCTATTAACATAGTCCACAAAAATTTATGCCAACGAAAATTGATGAAACCACAGTATATGCATTAACTTTTTATTATTGTTTCATTTGAAAATATGTAATTATATTTACACACATATTTGTTAAAAATGTAATTTTGACAATTTGACAGGAGATAGCACAATGTTCAGGATTCTTGCACAATGTGGTGCCAAAGTCAGAAAGAGTCTAGAAGGTCTAGACTACTTTGTTGCTGAAGGAGGACGTGCATTTGTAACTCTGCAAGATGTCATTGACAGGCTGCTGAGTTATCAAGTGATTTCTGGTGACCAGCAGAAGGACTATCAGGCTCTGCTCTTACAGTGTAAACAGTATCTAAGAACAGATTTCAAGGTACTAAGTATTGCTGATTGCTTAATGGCCTCTAAATGAAAAGCACATACTCTGTCTTAATCAAAAATGTCTGACCATGTATAAATCAGTTGTAAATTTTTTCCATTTTGATAATTTTTATAGATATTATTTTTTTTACATTCTGGTATTTACACCTTCTTGTACCATTAATAGATCTCTAGTTAGATGGGAGCCCAGGACATATATTATTACTACATGTATATTGTTATATGGTATTCATATTCCCATATACATGTATTTTCATTTTATTTCATTCAAGATACATGTCTCACATGAAAGTGAAGTGGCAGATCACTGTATGGTTCATGCCTTGAGTGATTCAAAAGAGGGAGCCTTCATGGAGGAATGTAGACACTGCCATGATATGGTTTGCGAAAGCTGTGAGCAGTTGAAGGACCTTTTGACATCTCTAGAGAACATCTTTTCTAATTCTTCCATAATTGCAGCAGGAGAGGAATTAAATGATCTTCGTTTCAAGGTATAAAATTAATTCATGCAGTTTATTTAATACAGAGACAACCATGTGAAAAAGTTATCCATGTCTTTTAGCCTTTAAATTTGTATATTAGGAGCCATCTATACACTGCGCACTAAAGAGTTGCATTGTTAAATTATCATTTAATAAATTTAGGTTCAGAGAGCAACTCAGAGTATTTGGAACTTAAAAAAACATGCCATACGTTGCAAAAATCAGGATCAAGCCAAGGCGGATCTTTTTGCAAACATGCCCACTGGTGAAGTTTTGTTGATTTGTGACTGGGCAATGAAATTCCTGCCCCGCAAGTTTAGAGAGGACCAATGTGACTGGTTTGGAAAAAGAGGAATTCCATGGCATATTTGTATGGCTTTCTGTAGAAAGGATGATGGCAGCATTGGGAGTCTTGGATTTATACATTTGTTTGCAAATCAAATCTCTCAGGTAACAAACTCTAGCATTATTTCAAGACCCGATTGAATATTAATGGTGCCCATTATTAAAGGAATGAATTTGATATTTATCCAAGTTGTACTGGTATAACCTGGGAAGGGGCAGTTTCTGCTTTATAAACAGCAAACTGGGTTAGCTATTATATTCATTCCTTATACATGAAAATTAACTTCTCATCATTAAAGTGTAGACAATAAGACAACTTTTTGTTTAAAGTACTTGACAGGTGTATGAAGTCTTTCTCATTAAACTTTTTTTTTAAACCAAATGAATTTTAGGACAGCAGCATCACTGTCAGGGTGATCAGTGATGTCATGAAGCAGATTCAGGGAATCCAGGCAGAAGACCTGAAGTTTCATCTATGGTCTGACAATGCTGGGTGTTACAAGTCTACAGAAATGCTTGCATTTTTGTATCATTCTGGAATTGTAAAGACCTACAACTTCTGCGAGTCCCAGAATGGGAAGGGGCCCTGTGATCGGACAGCAGCTACCATTAAGTCAGCTATTAGAAGATATGTCAATCAAGGCCATGATGTACTAACAGCTCATTCAATGAAACAGGTATAATTATAAATCTACATTTAATGTTAACCAACACAGGTGAAGTTAAACCAAAAATAACGAATCTGATTTCAAAAGAGATTTTAAATAATCTTAAAAAAAATAACTTAATTAAGTTGTTATGGTGATGTTTCAATTCTAGAACAAAATATTTATTGATAGCACTGTAATAAGAACTTGTTTAATTCTTTTACATGTACGTAATCCTATGATTATTTTTCAGGCAATTGAACAATCTTTGAAGACTGTGAAGTATAGAGTCAGTGTGGTCACAGATTCAGGCACAGAACATGAAAGAAAGAAAAATCTACTGAAGCCTATGGCTGGGGTATCGACGTACAATAATTTCTCATTCTCACTTGCTGGAATAAGAGCATGGAAAGCTTATGAAGTTGGTCCAGGTAACTAAATCATTTAAAGTCTATATGAAGTGTAACTAATACAATGTACTATAACTGAATTATATTAAGCATATACCATACAATATTTGACAGTACTGAATTTTTGAACACACTGTGGGTGAAATCAATTAGCAGGGGATGCTCACTCCTCTATGGCACCTGTTCCCACCTCTGATGTTTCAAAGGTCCATGTGTGCTCTGCTCCTGTTTTGTATTGTTTTACGGACTTTTTATGTTGAATACTGCTACTTATCTTCATATCCTTCATTCAAGAGATTTAACATTGTTCTAAATTCAGTGGAAGTTCCTTCCCTCTAAAATTGCATAAAGGATATAAAGTCAAATGTAAACTGAACATTTACAGTGTTGAACATTTTGAATAATACATTAAAATTCTGTTGCAACAAGAGCATGCAGTGACCTTGAACAAGGTTTTAGGTAAAGGGTCAAGGTCAAAATAGCCTCTTGGTTCAAAATATTTGTTCAGTGCATAATTCCTTTAAGTCCACTCAGCCTCAAACAAATAGACAGGGTATGGAACATTTGGGATTTCCTTTCATATATTGATAGAGGGTATGTAACAATTTTCATTGAGGATACAATTCTTTTTAAAAAATGTATTATTGCATTATTTTTCAGGAAGTAGTTACTTTTTGTCCTCTTTAATCTCAAACACCTTCAAAATAAACCCTTTAGGTACCTATTCATTTTCATGTTCATTGCCAAAAGCGAGGCCCTTTAAGATGGCAATTATCTCAGTGATTTCTAGTTCTAGGTTAGTTTTAATTGGACAGTATTGCCATATTGTAAATATATACAGATCCCATTTGCTCCCATTTGAATTTGAGAATGATTTAAATTTATATTTTGCAGGAAAACTTATCTCTTCCCCAACAATACCAAAGGTGGATCCTACTCAAATTGAAAGCGAAGAATCCCAGGGAGCACATGAGGTTGTTTTTCACAGTCTGCCACCAAAACCTGAGAGAGGGGAAAACATCTTTACTTGTACCAATGATGGATGCACACTGTCATTCTCTACATTTCAAGAGTTGTCAAACCATCTGTTATTTGGGATTTGCGAATGTTCATATGAGTGTCAATCTAGCAATGGGTGTGATATAACTAAAAAGATGTATGCAAAGAAAATGTCAAAGTCTATTGCAGCAAATCTCACGATATCTGTGGATGAACAAAGTGAAGGAAAAGGTAATGGTGAAGTTTTGAGCAAGGGATGGGCTCTGAAAGAAGAAAGAAAAAACAAGAGGTTTAATGAAAATCAAAGATCTTTTCTTCTTGACAAGTTTAACATTGGTTTGAAAACTGGCAGAAAAGAAGATCCATTCTTTGTTTCAGAGGCTATGCTTACAGAGAGAAAAGCAGATGGGACAAGGAGATTTTCATATGATGAGATTTTATCAACACAACAAATAACAAGTTTCTTTTCCAGGATGAGCAGGAAAAGCAAGAGCTTTGCAGATGTTTCTGAAGAGTTGGTTGAGGCACAACGGGAAGAAACAATTATGATTGTAAGGAGAGAACTGGAGGGGGAGTCTGTAAAGTAAAAGCTCTCAAAAACTTTTCTTGTGTATTTTTATGCACCTTTTTTTAACTCATCTCAACGAAGGTTAAGTTTTTTTGAGCAGTTTTCTTTTTAAGTACTTCTAGGACCTATAGTATATTATCTCGGAGGCAGTAATAGGCCGCTCATCATGTATATTTATGTATCTTTTATATTCAAGTGAAATATCATGTTTGAGTGTATAAACTCTGAGGCGGTAATAGGCCGCTCATCATGTATATTTATGTATCTATTATATTCAAGTGAAATATCATGTTTGAGTGTATTATCTCGGAGGCGGTAATAGGCCGCTCATCATGTATATTTATGTATCTATTTTATTCAAGTGAAATATCATGTTTGCGTGTATTATCGCGGAGGCGGTAATAGGCCGCTCATCATGTATATTTATGTATCTTTTATATTCAAGTAAAATATCATGTTTGAGTGTATTATCTCGGAGGCGGTAATAGGCCGCTCATCATGTATATTTATGTATCTTTTATATTCAAGTGAAATATCATGTTTGAGTGTATAAACTCGGAGGCGGTAATAGGCCGCTCATCATGTATATTTATGTATCTTTTATATTCAAGTGAAATATCATGTTTGAGTGTATTATCTCGGAGGCGGTAATAGGCCGCTCATCATGTATATTTATGTATCTTTTATATTCAAGTGAAATATCATGTTTGAGTGTATTATCTCGGAGGCGGTAATAGGCCACTCATCATGTATATTTATGTATCTTTTATATTCAAGTGAAATATCATGTTTGAGTGTATAAACTCGGAGGCGGTAATAGGCCGCTCATCATGTATATTTATGTATCTATTATATTCAAGTGAAATCTCATGCTTGAGTGTATTATCTCGGAGGCGGTAATATGGCAGCTCATCATGTATATTTGTGTATCTATTATATTCAAGTGAAATATCATGTTTGAGTGTATAAACTCGGAGGCGGTAATAGGCCGCTCATCATGTATATTTATGTATCTATTTATATTCAAGTGAAATATCATGTTTGAGTGTATTATCGCGGAGGCGGTAATAGGCCGCTCATCATGTATATTTATGTATCTTTTATATTCAAGTGAAATCTCATGTTTGAGTGTATAAACTCGGAGGCGGTAATATTCAAGTGAAATATCATGTTTGAGGTATAAACCGCTCATCATGTATATTTGTGTATCTATTATATTCAAGTGAAATATCATGTTTGAGTGTATTATCTCGGAGGCGGTAATAGGCCGCTCATCATGTATATTTATGTATCTTTTATATTCAAGTGAAATATCATGTTTGAGTGTATTATTTCGGAGGCGGTAATAGGCCGCTCATCATGTATATTTATGTATCTTTTATATTCAAGTGAAATATCATGTTTGAGTGTATTATCTCGGAGGCGGTAATAGGCCGCTCATCATGTATATTTATGTATCTTTTATATTCAAGTGAAATATCATGTTTGAGTGTATTATCTCGGAAGCGGTAATAGGCCGCTCATCATGTATATTTATGTATCTTTTATATTCAAGTGAAATATCATGTTTGAGTGTATAAACTCGGAGGCGGTAATAGGCCGCTCATCATGTATATTTATGTATCTATTATATTCAAGTGAAATCTCATGCTTGAGTGTATTATCTCGGAGGCGGTAATATGGCCGCTCATCATGTATATTTGTGTATCTATTATATTCAAGTGAAATATCATGTTTGAGTGTATAAACTCGGAGGCGGTAATAGGCCGCTCATCATGTATATTTATGTATCTATTATATTCAAGTGAAATATCATGTTTGAGTGTATTATCTCGGAGGCGGTAATAGGCCGCTCATCATGTATATTTATGTATCTTTTATATTCAAGTGAAATATCATGTTTGAGTGTATTATCTCGGAGGCAGTAATAGGCCGCTCATCATGAATATTTATGTATCTATTATATTCAAGTGAAATATCATGTTTGAGTGTATTATCTCGGAGGTGGTAATAGGCCGCTCATCATGTATATTTATGTTTCTTTTATATTCAAGTGAAATATCATGTTTGAGTGTATAAACTCGGAGGCGGTAATAGGCCGCTCATCATGTATATTTATGTATCTATTATATTCAAGTGAAATCTCATGCTTGAGTGTATTAACTCGGAGGCGGTAATAGGCCGCTCATCATGTATATTTATGTATCTTTTATATTCAAGTGAAATATCATGTTTGAGTGTATTATCTCGGAGGCGGTAATAGGGCCGCTCAGCATGTATATTTAATTTATATGTATATTACATTGGTATGATATTGAGCCAAAAATACAACGTTAACAGTATAAACTTTCTTTGTTGATCATTCAGTTATAGTAATTGGCAAGCATGATGTCAAAATGACCTCAACATTGAATACTTATCAAATTTTTAACCGAATAATAACATTTATCCTGCCTCTGATAAAAATCGTGAAAATTCATTGGCCGAGAGCAATACTGCATGAAACGATGTTATGCTGCCTACCCACCTCACATTGCTAATGTGCCCCCTCCACGTGACCTACCCACCATATATTAAAATTTTACCAACCACACATCATCAATATACTGCTTTCACGTGACCCATATGAAGCTTCATAACTGACGTCACAATGCGTCTGTCGACAACGTAGAACATCTTGCTTGGACGTTCAGTGAAAGCGGTTTATTGTTACTACAATATCAATATTTAATCTTTTGGAGAACCATCGGCAGGATAAATTCGTTATGTAGACACTTAGAGGGGTAATACGGAAATATGTGGGGTCCTTGAAAAAATGCATATTTGGCTCGGCTTACGCCTCGCCCAATATGGATTTTTTCAAGGACCCCACATATTTCCGTATTACCCCTCTAAGTGTCTACATAACTAATAATGTATATTTCCGAAACCAATTTGTTCTCTTTTTTCAAAACAATCACTTTTGTATGAAAAATGTTGCTACTCAGAGAAACAACCTGTCTCAATGAATGTACCTGTAAAATATGGAGCCCTGGCACAGTCGTGGCTAAGGTTAAATGTGGGTCAGAATCCAAGGTCAAGGTGGAAAGTGGAAATAAAAGGAACAAACAGGAAGGCCTTACAAGAACTATACAAGTGAAATATTAATACTGAAATATTAAACCGTTTGTTATTAAGTTATAGCCATTGTTATAGCTTCTCACCCAAGATCAAAATGTCAATATTGTTTTTATAAGTGGAGAGGGCCTTGTTGAATTAAATACACTTATGAAACATACAGCTGCTCAAAAGTTATTCTCGGGGTTAAAATGGGTCAATCCCAAGGTGAAGGTCAAGAGGTAATATACATATATATTTATACATAAATAGAAAGAACTTGTCACAGTAACGTATGAAAGCCCTCGCACAAAATTTCACGCGTTAAAGTTTTTGTGGACAAACAAACGCAATGGTTGACAGGGCAAAAAGTACATGTATATAGCCAGATTCTTTGATTAGTGGGGCATACAAACGCATAACGTTATAAACATACCATGTTATATATACTCTTTACCAAAGTAAAAATATTAAAAAATTTTCAATCTAATTTTGTCTTCAAACTATCAAATGAAAAATATGCTTTTTAATCCTTTGTCTAAACAGCTGTTGAAAAACTTGTTGCTAAGGAAAAATTCAACATGGCTATTCCCATGGCAACCAGTCAAATATTTTAGAATAAACTACGAAACATTCCTTTTCTCAATATTGTCTCATATGATGAATATATGGGGTTTTGTTTGAATTACTATGTGACCATGATTCACCCATTGTCTGATCTTAAAATGACAGTGTTATTACTTAAAACTCACTCGTATAAAACATTATATAGCATATTATATCAAATGAAAATTTGACAGGTTTCCATGACAACTGCGCATGTAACAATGATCACATTAATACATTAAGATTTTCTTAATGAAAGTATCAAATTAATCTAGGTTGAGCTAATTGAATTTTTTAGGTAAGAAAATCGAATTTGAAGATCATAATTATGTCTCTTTTTACAACAAAAGCACAATACATGGACATATATAGTTGCTATGACAACTATTAAAACTTATTTAAAAATTAAAAATTCTAGATTAATATGTGATACTTGTAGATTCATCCAAATTTTAATTTTTCCAACATTTTTTAATCCCAAAATTATATATAAACACAAGTTAATCTATCTTGAAATATTTCTGATGTTGCCATGGCAACGATTTTGAAAGTCAATTATTTTGGATTTAAGAAAAAACACACCTTTCATTTTTTAGTATATTTTTCATTAAGTTCAAATTCACATTATACTTGATTGGGATGAAAATATGTCTCTGCGTTTTTATTTAATTTATGATCAAAAATGTATTAAAAATGCAATTTTTCAAAAATGGCCAATTTAGCAAAACAATGAGATTTTAGTGATTAAATTAGATACAATGGTGATAGAAAAATGTAAATAACTTTCATCATTTATGTTGCTTTAAGTCTTGTTCTTAAGCAAATATATTTATATCATATTCAAATTTATCGGTTGTTTAATTATTTTTGTTTAAAAAATGTCAAAAACAGTGCCGTGAGAGGTGTTCAGGAGGCCATATTTGAGCCATGTATGGTTACCATGGTAACGGAACCCCCAATTAAATTTTTTTTGCTAAATTTCAAGAAAGGGTGTTGAATAAGTAATAAATATAAAATTTGATCAAAATCGGTGACATCACCTTACCAACCATTATTGAGAAATTTTGGTTCTTATAGAGAATGGCTCTTAAAAATCTATGATAAAGAGATTATAATGCAACTTTTGTAATATTTCACCTATTTTCACACTATCATAAGACATCAGAACTTTAAACTAAGAATCTGAAACAGAATCTATGAAGATAAAAGTTTAACTAGATGCTGTCATGAGACAGTAATACCCGCACTATGGTGTTTGCCTCTAAATATACACTCATTCATATTGGACTTTCCAAGGAAGAAGTCAAAATAATTCTATAATTATCACCGTACATGTATTCGTCAAATTGAACATAAAATTTTCAGATGACCATATCAACTCTGAGCCTCACATATGTATTTTAAAATACTTAATTCATAACCAGTCTGAAATAACAGAATTTAATTAATGATTGAAGTAAATTACTTAATTAGATTCAAATAAATAATTTTCCCATAATTTGGAACTTTTTAAATTTACTTTCTCAACGACATAAAATATTATTTTAGTACAAAGCGTTTTTGATGAATTTATCAAAATGTGCAAACTGATTTTAGTATTTGGTCGGGAAAAAAACCCATTGAAAATACAACCCGATTAATTTGTAA